AAGATCAAGGAGGTGGACACTGGGAGAGGAAGAGGAGGGAGGAGGGAGGTGGTCACAGGGCAAGGAAGAGGAGTGAAGAGAGGAAAGAGAGGATCGGGCAGTGAGAGCTGTCTCTCTGGCTGCAGGTTGGGATGCAGAGAGTGACTGGAAGGACGTGCTCTCTGGTGGGGAGAAACAGCGGATGGGGATGGCCAGGATGTTCTACCACAGGTGAGGGACTGACTGGGAGGGGTTGTGCCTGACTGGGAGGGGTTGTGGCTGTGGGTGCGTGGTTGTACTTGTGTGGGAGGGGTTGTGTATGTGGGGGGCGTGGTTGTACCTACGTGGGAGGGGTTGTGTATGTGAGGGGCGTGGCTGTACCTGTGTGGGAGGGGTTGTGTCTGAGGGGGCGTGGTTGTGCCTTCGTGGGAGGGGTTGTGTATGAGGGGGGCATGGTTGTACCTGTGTGGGAGGGGTTGTGTGTGGGGGGCGTGGCTGCACCTGTGTGGGAGGGGTTGTGTCTGAGGCGGGCGTGGTTGTACCTGCGTGGGAGGGGTTGTGTGTGTGGGGGGCGTGGCTGTACCTGTGTGGGAGGGGTTGTGTCTGAGGCGGGCGTGGTTGTACGTGACTGGGAGGGGACGTGTCTTAGTGGGCCTATGTCTCTTACTGCATGTCTATATGTGTGTCTGTGCATGTGATGAGCTCTTCCCTTGCCAGGATTCAGTCATGGGTGAACACAGGCACCTCCGTGGAGAATTTCTCTTCCCAAAACTCTGGCTCTCCCTTCAATGGGAGATTTCAGTGGCGTCTGGGTTCTGAGGACGTCACGTCAGCTCCTGCAGCTGATTCAGCTCCACATGAGCCCTGGCACGAGCTGGCACATGCATGTCTGTAGGCACCAGGTTATCCTTTATCAGCAGCTGAAGCGTCTCATGGTCTTGTCTTTGTTTGCCCTTGTGTTTTTCGGCACAGGCCAAAGTACGCGCTCCTGGATGAGTGCACCAGCGCCGTCAGCATCGATGTCGAGGGCAAAATATTTCAGGCTGCGAAGGATGCTGGGATAGCGCTCCTGTCCATCACGCACCGGCCCTCGCTGTGGTAAGAGCAGCGCCGCTGGCCGAATGATTCTTCATGATCAATCGGAAATATTACCCTTGATTTAATT